GCTGAACAGAAAGCTGCTGGTGTAATTTCTGATTAAATGAGAGAAGGGCTAAGCACCATGGCAGCCTTCTCCATCATTTCCTGAGAGTTTGGGCGAAAATCTTCACATTTCTGGTTTTGAAGTAGTTCCATCAAGTCTTAAATCCAGTCACTTCCAAGTGACTCTACGTTGAGCAGCAAAATATCATTGCAGGGAGTCTGCTGCTATTAATTAAAATCCTTACTACCGAGTCACTGTTTATTCAAAAGGCAGTTTTAATAATGTTGTGAAGTGGAAGTGTTGCGAGTTTTAAATTTTTTTGAAACTAAATTGTTGGAAAGTAAAGGATATTACAACTGTGTATAAATGATAACGCAGATTTCCCCTGTTCTGAGTGACAGATTTTCCAAAGCTCTTTTTTCCTGTTTCTAAACATGACCAAAGTACCAAAACTTTATGGAATATTAGTGTTTCCCAGAAAAATGCTGCAGTGCAGGCAAGTTTCAGGATTAACTTTCTGGCACAGATCAATAAGAGAATGCAGAAATGGTGTGATTACAGAAGCTGAAAAGCTGGCCGACTGCTTTGAATAATTAATTCTTGCTTGATGCAGGAAATTTTTCTCATTTCACTTTACAAAGAGAGATTTTTGTTGGGTTTTAATTTCTAAGGCTGGAGGATTATATAAATAATTTGATGAATTTTCTCATACACAAAACGCTGTTCTACATCCAATTTCTAGAGATGGATGTGCAGTGTCACATCAACCATAACTATGAAAATAATTGAAAAAGCACCTTCTTTATTTATGGTTTATTTTATTTTAGAAGATGGCAGAAAACACAAAGAAGAAATTGGTACTTGCACTTCTACTTTAAAAAATGCTTCAAAGAAGCATAAACCAAAGGATTTGGAATACAGTTCTCTTTATTTTCTTTGTGGATCATATTCACAGAGTAGTCTTTCCCTTCTCACCCCTTAGTTTCATAATCATATTGTTTAATATGGCAAGGTAAATATTTTCATATTTTGATTTTCCCTATTTGTGTTTTCTGAGACAGAAGGAGAGGAATGGTCAGTCAGTAAGGAGAAATCATGGTATTGGAAAGAACAATGTGATTTAATTGTTGTTAATTAATGGGCATTAAAATTCTGATACATTGTGAAATAGAAGATAATGATAGAGAACACGACGCTAACAGTATTCTCTCATGAACAGAAAATAGCACAGGCTTTAATCCAGTTATTAAGCTGCTTTTCAAAGTTTTTATTTAAGCACCTAGCTAGCTTAGTTGAAAATAAGAAAACATCCTGACATTTGACATTATAAAAGGAAATGGAGTCGTTAGCTGTAAAAATAAATACAATTCGTGTCTTTTTTGTCCATTTGTGCCCACTTCTCAGGTAATCATACACATTTCATACGGTTTTTACACCTGCTTACATTAGAACTAATTTTTTTTTTACACGCTTATTCTTTTTATCCATACAAACGCATTTTCACCAAATTAGCTGTTGTAATAGCGTTGCATATTGACGCACAGACCTGAATCTAGCCTGATCCCAAATCAGACCCCCGAGCTCCGGGTGGGCAGCAGGGCGGGTGTGAGCCCACGCCCTGTGACTCCACAGAATTCGCGGAATTCGCCGCGCCGAGCACGCGGCGCCTCCCGCGCGAGCTCGCCCAAGTGACAAAAACCGGCGGTTTTGGTAAAATCGGGCGATGGCGGCCAGCTCGGCGTCCCCCTCCGGACGCCCCGACCCCTCGTTGCGCTCCTGGTGCTGCCAGGACAGGGGGAGCATTATTGGCCCCTGGGCGGGCGGTGCCGAGCCGGCTCAGCCACCCTGCAGGGCTGGGCTGGGCTGGGGGTGCTGGAAGCGGGGCAGGGTCGGGGATGCCACGGCCGGACCGTGGGAAGGTGTGGACACAGAAGGCAAAAAACAAGAGCAAGCCTGAGATTGCTGTGCTTTAGGACCTGACCAGCCATCTCCAGAGCGTTGCAGAGTTGGTGAAAGGCTGAGCTTGGCCTTTCCAGCAGTGCCTTTGGTCTAGCAGTGAGGGCACTTCAGCCAGCCCCACGAGTGGGTTGGATGTGTACGTTATTATTTAATTTTTTTTTTTAATGCAGGCAAAATATAATCCCCATTCCTGCAAAAAAAAAAAAAAAAAAAAAAAAAAAAAAAAAAAAAGATGGTGTGAAAAAAAAAAGAAAAAAAAAGATGGTGTGTCTGGGTGAAACCCTCTGGGGGGTTTCTTTGGAGAGGTACAAAAAAAAAATAAAAATTTCATGAGGGTCTCTTCACCTCTGTGCAATAAGAAAACCATGCAGCCTCCTCCAGATGTAGCAGATCTTTGGGGAGGGTAGAGCCAGCTACGTAAGGGTCCCCTCTTTACAGCAACTCTGGATCTAGCTGTGGTAATCACTTGGATATTCTCTACAGCTTTTCCCACCCCACAACCTCCCTGTCCAAACTTCAGAAGAAAAACTGTGGAATAATTTGCATTTTTTCAAATTTTCTGAAGGTTGGATGAAGGAATGACATGTATTCCTCTTGATCATGGTCCACTCTTGCATACCCTTTTCCTTGTTGGGTATTTAACATTTCTATTTCCATTTCCATTGCTTTTCTCCAAAGGTTTCAGAGAAGGCTCTGAATGGCCAGAGAAAATGTGTGAAATGGGCATGGATTTAAGAAATGGCCGTTCAAGAAAGGTTGCATGGTTTTAGGGACTTGACCTGTAGCAAGTCTCTATTTATAGCTAAGGGATACCATTTTGAGAAAATCCAATTCCTTGTGGTTTAAAAAAAAAGGAGGGGGTTTGGCACTGAGATTGCTCCATCAGTAAAGTATGAACAGATAAACACAGAGGATGTAAATATCCCCAGAAGGATGGAAATTTGCTTCTGAGTTCAGTGGGAAAGAACTCCAATAAAATACACCTTACTCTACAGCCCCTTTCCATACCTTGTCCCTGGCTTGCTCACAGAGTCTTAAAAATGGACCACAACCACTCTGGGAAAGAGATTTATTTACTCACATCCATGGGAAAATAGCTACACCAAACCATCCATGAATGCATACAGGTTGTGTCCTAGTTGGATAAATACCTCTATACCTCGTTTAAGTTATGGAGACAGTGGGCAGCTATAAAACTTGGTGTAAATACAAATGTTGGTCCTCTGAGTTCTTTGTAGTCAGCAAGAGTAGAGTAGGAAAAAGAGTTCTCCATTTTTAAGTGGTAGAACCAATACTGGATAGAGAACATCAAAAAACGCTGAAGAGATTACCCGAGACCAAGATATTTTTAATCAGTGGCCTCTCTGCCTTTTTTTTTTTTTAATTATTATTATTTTTTTGGATATCCAGCTTGAGACACCATGAGTGGAGTAAATTTTCAGAAAGCCTCGAGCACCTGCTCTCTGAAAAACTGGTTGCATTAAGGTAGCTGAAGATGAGCACCAAGAATTGCTGCATCCAAAGTGAGCTTGCATTAGAAATCCCAAATTCCCTCAGACTGGTACTTAGGAAGGACCTAGTGCTTTAGGCAGCTCTGAAAACCCTAGGCACCATGCACAGTGTGTGTTTTTCTCTGACACTGGCAGATTTAGGTAAACATCTTCCACCTAGACCACTGCAGATTTAGTGAAAAGAAGTATTTCAATAGCTTTATTTTCTCTTAACTCTAAGGAGGACTAACTAAATAATTCAGGGCTAGCGATACTATATTATCTCACTGATAGTTTAAAAAACAGATGTATTTTTTAGATACAAATGAGATGTAAGGAAATGAAGTGTTTTTTCCTTTTTCTCTTCTAAAACTTAATGGCTGGTTTCTGATTTTGTGTAATAGTCTAAGACTTCACAATTTTAAATATTTTTTTTCTAATTTTTGTTTCTTGTGATGTGTAAGTAGCTAAGAAATATTAAATACTGTAATGTTCTTTAATTAAGACAATAACATTTCAAAGGCTAATGTAAAATCAAGCTGCTAAAGTTTACAATTTCTCTGTCCAGCAGTTCATTTATACAACTGCCCTGAGTAGATGCTATTATGCTGCTTAGCAAATGGCCTTTAAGAGTTTAAAAATAGCTCAGTAAAGCTACTCAAAGGTAATACAACACTTCTCAGGCATCTTTAATTGGAGAGAAGAAGAAAAGAAGAGTTTTCTCATCAGTTAATTATTCACTCAATGATTTATACACAACGAAAACACAATTGAAATGTTCTGGAGAACTAATTGTGCTTCTTCCTATGCATAAGCTTATTTTTCAGAAAGGCAAGGTTTGAAATTGTAAAACTAGTCCTGTTTTTGTGGACCGTTTTAGCTGCTTTTGTTAAACTCTCTTGTTCCCATGTGAACCAGTGAAAGCAGTTATTTGCTAACATATATTGTTGTGAGATTTCTTTCCGAAACCCCACTGATCCCCTTTAACAAAAAGATTGTTTTATTTTAAAATTCCTATCATAATCAATTTGCAGTGTTTCTCAAACTGGTACAAATATGTAAAATCTGTGCTTTTAAAAGCTTCTGCTTTGAGTAGCCTTACACTCCATAATTGTGCCCTAGCAATTGTCAAGCTCTATTGCATGCCCCATTCACAAAAATTATAATCTTTTTGGGATGACATAGCTTAAAGAATTTGAATCTGAAAAGTTCCTTACCTAGAGCTCCCATTAAATTATATTAATTTAAAATATCTATGGAATGATATTCTCACAAAAAAAAAAAAAATCAAGAAAGCAAAACACTAAAACAAAACCCAAAACCAAACCAACGGGTTTGGGGGAGGGAGTGTCTACGAAAATGACTCTTTACAGTAAGTAAAAGAGGTTTATCACAGTTTTGGCAGCTTGCATGAGTTCATACCAAAAAAAAAAAAAAACAAACAAAAAAACACCAAAAAACCCCAAAAAACCAAAAGAAAACAACAACAAAAAAAAAGACATCTTTCACGCTTAAAAAAAAAAAAAAAAGCAAAAAAACCGCAAAAAACTTTCACGCTCTAGGCGTACCCTCTCAGTTGTAGGCCCTGAAGCAGTAGACCCCGTAGAGCTTGTGCTTCTTGTCGGGGAAGCCGACGAAGCGCACGGCGGCCTCGCTGGGGCTGCAGCGCTTGCGCGGCCGCGAGATGGGGTAGCGCACGCTGCCGTCCGCCAGCCAGCCCGCGTCGCAGCGGTCGTAGCCCAGCAGCTTCCAGGCCGCGAAGATCTGCCCCACCTTGGCGATCTGCGAGCCGTCCTTCAGGCAGGCCTGCACGGCCTCGTCGTACGTCAGCTTGGTGGGGTGGATCAGGTAGTAGAAGCGGCCTGGGGAGAAAGGGGGAGAGGCGGAGTTGTTAGCGCTGTGCGGAGGTTGGGTGTCGGCGGTGCTGGAGGGGTTTTGCAGGCTTAAATCTTGGCAGTCTTAAATCAAAGAATCACGCAGAATCACAGAATTCCAGGTTGGAAGAGACCTTCAGGATCATCGAGTCCAACCACAGAATTCCAAATTGGAGGAGACCTTCATTCAGATCACCAAGTCCAACCACCAAGTTGGAAGAGACCTTCAAGATCATCGAGTCCAACCCAGCCCCAACACCTCACCTAAACCCTGGCATCAGTGCCACATCCAGGCTTTTTTTAAACACATCCAGGGATGGTGGCTCCACTACCTCCCTGGGCAGCCATGCCAGAACTTTATCAGCCTTTCTGTAAAAATTGTTCCTATTATCCAACCTATATTTCCATTGGAGAACCTTGAGACTGCCTTCTCTGGTTCTGTCAGTGCTGCCTGGAGAAAGAGACCAACCCCACCTGACTACAACTTCCTTTCAGGTGATTCTGTGACCTCAATGGTGTTGCCTAAAGAGTTTTACTTTTTATGCAATTTCATACACTTTTCATAGATCCACAGCTCTGTATACCAGTTATACGGCTCCTGGTATTTTTCCTACCCTTTCTCTAAGATTTTAGAGTAATAAGCTGACCTTTTAGCACATTCCTGAAATACTTTTTGGTCTTACTGTCAAGCAGAGAACCTATAAGAAGACATAACAGGAACTGGGGCATAGACACCCTTGCACCAACCCAAGGGGCAACTGAATCTCCTATTGGATGTATCTCTTAGATATCCTAATTAATTAACCTTATGAAAACTGTACAAATTGAATACCATTGCGCCCATAGCCCATAAATATGGATACACCTGGAAGCTTCCAATAAGGAACTTCTTTTTTATCTTACCATTTTAATACTGTGGCAAGGCTTTTTGTCTGCTTTGATTTCATGCAACAATACAATAACACTGACTTTCGAGGAGAAATGGAGATGATCTGTTGAAGGATCATGTGAAACAGTGGTTAATTTGGGTGTGTGCCAGTTGGATGTTGTGTTGTTGAAAATACTGTGATTTTTTGGTATGGTGAATTGATAAGTGTCAGGAGGAAAAAAGAACTTACCCAAGAAACAGCAGAGGCACAGAAAACAGACTATTTGAACAAAAAAACCCCAACCAATCAAAAAAAAAAATCTAACCCCCAAAAAACCCCCCAAAAAACCCCAAAACTAAAAGCAATGCTATATTTATTTCTTCTAATATCAAATTATGGCATCTCCAACCAAAGTCACATTCACTGATAGCATTTTAGGGGAGGGCAGCTGCACGTAACTCATGCTCTTTTGCTCTCTGACAAGGTGGTGACCTTGTTTCTGATTAAATACAAGCAAAAAATTTCTTTTCTTTTTTTTTGTGAGAAAGCCAAGGTATCCAACAGCTTCTCAGAAGGAGAGTTTGAGCCTGTGGTGGAGCAAAATTATGTCTGTTGTAAGTCTTCACCAGCAGTTCTGCAGCTCTGTTTCTCTTTAGGCATCAAAGGGAATATCCTCACCGCAACACGAGACTGAACTGATAGTGCTGCTGAGAAAAATGTTCCCTGTCTCAAGGTAATGAAAATATATGCCAGAAAATAAAGCCCAAAAAGCCAAGTCTACCCTACTAATCCATACACAGCGATAATATTGGTATTGATTCTATTTATCAAGGCAATAAACATTCATTGTGAGCATTTCATTCATTATGCTTGGGGCTATTTATCATCACTGCTTTGACAGCCAAGTGGACTGCAGAAGAATCGTGTTTCTTTGAAGGCATTCAGTAATTTCCAAATAAATTCACAACTTTTCAATCTGCGTGCTCCTGAAGAGGAGAGTTAGGTGAAAAAAAGGAATTTTTCTGTTATTCTTCTGGGCACCTTCTAATTCCAGAGCACACTCTTTGCTGATTAATTAAGAATGTACTCCAAGACAATATCCACTTTCTGCCTCCCAAAAATCAGATAGATACACAAAACTATGCCTAGTATGAGATTGCTTTCTTGGTAAAGAAAAAGTGGTGAATTAAGAGTTATGACAGCTTCATATTCCTGCAAAAATCAAACAGGATTTTTTTTTCTAAATGAAGGAAAGTCAGGTCAGATCGCAATATAAAAGTAATTGAATTAACCCTGTCTGAAGGTTGGAAATTGGATATCAAGACAAGAACATTTTAAAAAAAGGAATTTACATTGCAGCTGAGGTGCAAAAGAGACTTTAAAAAAAAGAAATTCATTGATGTCAGAGACAATATCTACAGAATTTCCGTAACTCTGAAATTCCAAAATTTCCATAATTTCCAAAACTCTTGAGAACAGGTAATCATCCCTCTGTGGAACACTTTTTAAAACTCTGTTTTGGCAAGTTGAGAGCGTTCACAATGTGCTACTAAAGGGAATGTTTACTAAATGGAATCCTGTCACTGATACACTCTTAAGAGGTTCCCCCAAAGCAAACAGGATTTCTGATTTAGGGGAACAGGGGTTTGGACTGATAGGGTTTAGTAAACTTCACCTAGTTTGTGAGTTCCTCTTCACGCCATATGCCAATGGAATGTAATTTCCTAGGGGTTTGCAGTAAGGTCAGGCTTTTGACATATGACATCAATAATAAAATACTCCTACACTCTGCTCCTCCCTCAAACAAGAGAAATGTAATAGTACACTCCACAGGGGTGCTATGCGTATCCAGAATGTCTGATTACATAAAATCCCATTAGTAAACTCTGTGCAGATTTGCTGTTTTTCCCCTGATATTAGTTGGGAAGGGTTCCTGACTGTTCAATCTCAGAACTTGTTAATTGATGTGGAAGGATAGGGAAGAATTTTCTGTCTCTCTCTCATTAATGCCTGATTAGACTCCTCACACCAAACCCATAGGGCAAAGGGTTTGTGCAAACCTGCCCAAACCCCATCTATAACAGCTATTTTGAGATTTTTGTGCGTAACAGAACAGCTGTAAGAGGAAAACTCCAACCACTGGCCTACACACTCTTGTGACTGTGGAAGTTTTAGGGATTAATCACACTTGGAGATTTCCTCAAGCTTAGTGTTCAATTGAGAGGCTTATTAGTAAGTTTCTGTTATTTAAAAATGAAAAAAAAATGGAGAGTGACATTTAAGACCTGGTAAATATTTTGACACCCAGTGATCCCCTCAAATAACTGATTTTGAATTAAATATGTGAGAAAAAAAAATTTTGAACACACCAATACCAGTAATGACTCCGGTGAGTCAGAAGCAACTACTGCTAATAAAGGCTGTGTGATTTTATTTCGGGTTCAGTTTCTCTTTTTGGAACAGTTGCTACATGCTCCTAGTGATAAAATACTCTGACATAGTCAAATGAACAGTCAGCATTATTCAGACAGGACTTTCCACAGCTTTCTCCCATTTAAATGTGACAATTGCTTGTCACACTCGCTGTTGTAATGAACAGGTGGCTCACAGCTGTGCTTTTAACATGCTCTCAAAAATGTATTCCTCATGTTCTTAATTTTGTTGAAACAAGATTTTTACTTGATTCTCTTAGAGCTGATGAAAGATCAATTATGCACCATGGTTCTGTGGCAAAAGTATATAATAAAATGCATGTTATTGAGGGGAAAGTGTGATGCAAGCTGTACTTGTACTTTGTCTTATTTTCTTCGAAAAGGTTTAATTATAGAGGATCTGATAAATACATTTACATTTAGCTCTTTCAGCACTTTTCAGTGCAAGAGATTCTCAGGGATTTTCCTTAAAAAAAAGAAAAACAAACCAAAAAACAAACAACTGTTGTCCTTCAGAAGACCTTTGAAAACAGATAAGGAATAACCACTCAGCTCTTCCATTATACTTTCCTTGGTTTATGGCTATTAGGCTCCGTGGGGAAGATTGTAACAGAAGGATTTATCTGCATTTATTTCCTCAAATTGATCATCTGGAGAGGCTGCATGGGGGAGGAATATCCTCATTCCTTGGGACAAGGAAAGGAGAGAAATTGGGGGGACCTGCAGCCCTGGAAAAACTTTGGATCACCTCAGCTCTTCTAAAGATGACATGGGCTGAAGTGGTTTCCATTGAGCAGGACAAGTGAAGGAGAAATTGGCTGTGAGAGAGCAAAGCTGAGCCCTCAGGCACCAGGAAATTCCAATGAGGAATTTTCAAATTTAAGTTAGATCCTCCCCACTTGTGTACATTCATTTCCAACAGTCTTTATCAGCACAAGGAATGTAAAAACAGATTGGGAAGCATATTGCCATCCAGTGCAGGCAGAAAATGTTTTGTTATTTCAAAATATTTTGATGGATTTCTCAGGCAGCATCAGGCTGTGTTACTCTTTGCTTTGTTTTATGAAACACATCACTATATATATATATATATATATATATATATACACACACATATATATATATTTATACATATATATACACATCACTATATATATACTGGTAGATTGCTGGTAGTATTAGATATAAGAGCTATGAAATGATTTCATGTTCTTGGGTGAACATGAAATAATGAACAAATCTTGTATGAATCAGAAACATTTCAGTATAAATCAACTACATGGGCAGAAAAAAATGTACGTTGTATTTGCCTTATTCTATGAAAAGTCATCATGGAGGGTAATTTCATAAAGTAACAAGATTATTTGATATTGCAGCTTTGCTCAAACTATTTCCATGTGCAGATAACAGAAAAGCATGTAAATGTTTTTATTAATGGTACAATGCCTTCATATTTAACCATTATTTTTTGTGTAACTGGGTCATCACAGTTGGGATCCAATAATTCCACAGGGAAAACACTGAACCTGGATTTGAATTCACTGCATTGATGATTACATTTTCATTTTTTACCCAAATGGCTAAGTACCACGGCTTTTACCTTCCTTCTTCAGGTAAAAAACAAGCTTTGCATGTATTTCAGACCAAGATTTTTTGCTTTCAGGGCTGAATTACTTGAAATGGATCCTTTTTTTTTAAATAATCTCTGAATTTTTTCCCTACAGAGAAACCATTTAGAAGGTATCTAAACCTGACTCTTTTTTTATAGAAACTCCCACAACTTATTTTTTTTTAAATTCTCCTTATCCTTCCCTGCTTCTGTGGCCCTTGGAATTTTCCCATCTCCATTACATAAAGCAGAAATCTGGATTTTCAGCTGATGTCGTGAGTGACATTTGACACTGAATTGTGGGAACATCTATCTATATCTATATTTCTATCTATATCTATATCTACATCTACATATTATTTTATCTGTATCTATATCATCTATATCTACATCTACATCTATATCTATATCTATATCATCTATGTCTATATCTATATCTATATCTATATCTATATCTATATCTATATCTATATCTATATCTGTATCTATATATCTATACCATCTATATCTATCTATATCTATAATCTATATCTTATCTATAAAATCTGTATCTATATATCTATATATCTATATAACTATATATCTATATACTTACAAGTCTATGTATCTATATATCTATATATCTATATATCTATATATCTATATATCTATATATCTATATATCTATATCTATCTTCACTTTCTCTTTCTCTCTCTCTCTTTTTCTAATATTTATCTTAGTCAGTACTTATTCTTTCTTTTCCCCAGAAATCATGCATTTTTTTGTTCCTTAAAAGGTGCTGCTCAACACCTGCTGGGTAAAAGGGGGGTGATCACTGAGCAGTAGTCACAAGGTTTTACTCTGCAAGGGTTGGAAAAAAGTGCAGCTATCACATTTTAGTTATTTTTGTTTGATTATTTAATACCCTGGTGATATTTCTATAGCACAGGGTTAAATCTGCATAGAAGAGTTCATGCAGGATTTCAGCTCGGATAAATGAAGCAAGAAAAACTGAGCCAGCTTTTGATGGGATGAAGCAGTACAATAAAGAAATCAGCCAAACTTTTGTTTCAGATCACTGTGAACCAAATGTAATACTGTTGGCTTAGAGGATCTGTTTGGGTTTTTCTGTTGTATTTTTTTTGGCGGGGGGGTTAATCCTGTGTGTATTTTTTTTTTGTGTGGTGAGTTTTTTAGGCCTTTTCTTTGTTTCGTTTTTATTTTTAATTTTTGTTTTGGGAGGGTACTTTTTTGTTTGTTTTGGTTCTCTTTTTTTTTGTTTTTTTTTTTTGGATGGGTCTTTTTCTGTGGTGCAGACTTAGCACTGGAGCACATCTTCTGAAACCAAGGCTTATCTTTATTTTTTGCTGTGCTGTAGGACAAAGCTGCTTCACTGTGGCCAAGCAATCTGTGCATAAATATAAAAAGGCCACACTCCGTGGTCTGAGTGGGCTGCAAGCCAAACCTGTACAGAGTTGTGTAGGAATTACCCACAAGCTGGATGCTGTAGAGGATTGGATGCATTCACAGTAATGCTTTCTAAATCTTTTCCTGACACTAGGTAAACCCTGAAATGATAGCAAGCTGAGATTGGGTCCTTTAATTTCATTTAATACCTAAAAAAATATATCAGCTAATAGCAAAAAAAAAGCTTGCAGTTGCTAAAGTAAGGTTTACAGAAGTCCAGACTCAGAGCAAAAATGATCGGTGGCTTCGCAGCATACTGAGATTAGAAATCTAAATTATGAATAAATCTAGAAATAGGTCTGCTGATAAGGAACTATTAGTCATATTAGACCTGGTCCATGAGCAGGATCTGCTGGACACTGCAGAATAGGTGCAGTGATGATCAAAATTTTGTTTTGCTGACAGATTTTAGCAATGGGAGCAGAATTATTGACTTCAACAGGAAACCTTAATTAATGAACTGCAGGTTCGAAGGCTGAACTGAATTAAACTGATTACACACCAGCATTAAAAGGATGTGTAGAAATTTTAATGGGGTATGTATAAAGGGTATGTATAAATTTTCAAGGAGTAAAAGGGGAGACATTAGAAAATCCTGCCAGTACAAGTCCTGAGTTGTAAAAACTACCTATGTGACCACGTGGCAAACACGACTTTGCTCTGCGCGCGTACCCTTGAAAACTCAACAATTATTTTATTACCTTGACTATTTCATTCCTAGCATCTTCCAGGTTTAACACAAGCTTTGACCAACCAAACACCCCTTTCTGCCCCCTGGAGCACCTTGCCTAAGCACAGCCATTTAATGGGGGGAGGGCAAAGGAAACGCTCTCACCGTTGAAGTTGGACGTGAAGCAGAAGACGTCGTAGCGGCTCTTGTCCTTGTCCCAGAACCCGTAGTTCCTGACGCCGGGCACGGTGTTCCTGCCCCCGCAGGGCTCCCTGGGCTTGGTGATGGGGTACTGCACGGAGCCATCGCTGAGCCAGCCCGCGTTGCACCAGTCCAGCCCCGACCTC